GTTTGAGGACGGATAGTCTTGCTCGTGTCGCCAGGTGATGACAGTAGCAAATTTGGCTCACTGCAACTCCGCCTCCCGGTTGAGGCAATCTGCTCTGCCTCGTCCCATGTGAGGCTGGGAGATTACAGACGTGTGCCACTCGCCTGGCTTACTTTCTTTGTTTTTTAGTAGCGCCGGGTATCACCTGTTGCCAGGAGTGGTCTCGTCTACTGACCTCAGTGATCCGCCCGCACTCAGCCTCCGCAAAAGGGCACTGCGCATTACAGGCGTGCAGCACCGCGCCGGCGCTCTTACACTAAGTTTATTTTCGTTCATTATGTGGATTCATAATTGGATTTTGTTTTGTCTAATTTTTATTAATGTTTTATTTTCTCCCTCTGTGTTCTTGTTGTTCCTTTGTGATGCCCCCCTTTTTGCCTCTTTTGGATTACCTGATGCCGAGATCCTTTCTTGTCTTTTTTTCTCTCTTTTTTTTTTGTTGAGCGGCCAGTTTCCAAGGCCACGAGTCCGGCGGTGTGTGTGCCCGGGGCTGGAGTGCAGTGGCGGATTCAGCGCCCTGCAAGCTCCGCCTCCGGTTCCGCCATTCTCCTGCCTCAGCGCCTCCGCGGTGCCCATACTGCGGATACAGGTGCGCCACCTCTGCCGGCTGCTATTATTTCCCCTGCATTTTAGTAGATACGGTGTTTCCACTGGGTTAGCAGCGCATGGGTGCCAATCTCGCCCCTCGACCTCGTCGATCCCGCCCCGCTCAGCCGCCCAAAAAAAAAAAAAAGAAAAGAAAAAGAAAAAGAAAAAAAAGAAAGAAATATAAATGGTCTAAACACACCAACTAAAAGGAAGAGATACTCAGGTTGGATTAAAAAATAAGACCCAACTTACATAGTGTCTACACAAATGCCACTTTAAATATAATGTTCTAGGTAGGTTAAAAGGAAAAAAGTGAGAAAAAATATATACCATGCAAACATTAGTCAAAAGAAAGCTGGGGTGGCTACATTAATTTCAGACAAAGTAAACTTCAGAAAAAGGAATATTTTCAGGAAAAAAGGACAATGCAGGGACGGGCATGGTGGCTCACGCCTGTAATCCCAGCACTTTGGGAGGCCGAGGCGGGTGGATCACCTGAGGTCAGGAGTTTTGACCGACAATTCTGCCAACATGGCAAAACCATGTCATTATCTAAGAAATAGCAAATGAGTCCAGCCATTGGTGGCGGGCACCTGATAATTCCACACAGCTAACTTGGGATCGCTGAGGCAGAGAGAATCACTTGAACACCGGGAGTCGAAGCGAGGTTGCAGTAGAGCCAAAGATCCGTGCCCACTGAAAAAAGTGCACTACACAGCATGGGAACGACAGAGACATGACCCCTTCCCAAAAAAATTTTTAAAAGCATAAAAAACAGAGTCATTCAGTCAGTTCAAACTTACTAACCTTAAGTAGGCCAGTCCTTAAGGAAAAGGAAGAAACAGTGAAGATGAAGAAATAAATAAAAGTAAAACACGTTTTTTAAAAATCAGTGCAATCGTAAATTATGTTTTCTTGAAAGATCAATAAAATTGGTAAGTTTATAGATTCACCAGAAAAAAGACACAAATTACCAATATCAGCGCTCCGCGAACCACGCATAACGGACTTCTACAACGACAAAACAGCGCTTCATAGAGAACATACTACCACAATAAACTTATGGTCCGTGAAGATCTGACCAATACCTGAGTGAGAATGGATTATCAGTATCAGGATAAACATCTAAAAACCATCACTCAAGAAGAAACTGATAATCTAAGTTAACACAATATAAACTATTCAATAATTTATTGAATTCATGGATATAAAAACACAAAACATATACCAATCGCAACGGCAGCAGGTGGCTACAGACTGTAATCACCCAGCACTTTGGGGGCAGAGACGCGGATCACAACGTCAAGGGAATCGAGACCCATCCTGGCTAACACAGTGAAACCCCGTCTTCTACCTATCACCATTAAGCCGGGCGGGGGTAAGCAGGCGCCAGACGAAAAAAAAACCGGCCGTTCTTAATACATCACTGTGTCCCAGCACACGGGCAGGCTGAGGCAGAGAATGCACATAGGACACCGGGAGAGCACGACAGCTTGCAGTGAGCCTGGAGCATCCGGCCACTGCATTCCAGCCTGGGTGACAGAGCGAGAGTCTCGCTCTCAGAAAAAAAAAAAAAAAAAAAAAAAAAAAAAGAACTGCTTCCAACAATCAAAAACTCCAGGCTCAGATGGATTTTTGCTAAGTGAATCCTACCACACCATATTAGTTAATTAATTCAATTCATAATAAATTTAACTACCAGAAACAAATCTTTTTTTTTTTTTTTTTTTTTTCTGAGGCCAAGTCTCACTCTGTCGAGCCCAGGTTAGAGTGCAGTGGCATGATCTTAGCTCACTGCAACCTCTGCCTCCTGGGTTCAAGCGATTCTCCTATCTCAGCCTCCCGAGTAGCTGGGATTACAGGCGCCCACCACCGCACCCGGCTAATTTTTTCTATTTTTAGTAGAGACAGGGTTTTACCATTTTGGCCATGCTAGTCTCGAACTCCTGACCTCAGCTGATCCGCCTGCCTCAGCCTCCCAAATTTCTGGGATTACAGGTGTGAGCCACTGCACTCGGCCTTAAATCATTTTTTAATTGCCTCTAATCACTCAAATATTATATCCCAAGACTTTTTTTTTTTTTTTTTTTAAGAGATAAGAGTCCCACTGTGTTGCTCATGGTGGTCTCAAACTCCTGAGCTCAAGTGATCCTCCTTGCCTTGGCCTCCCAAAGTGCTGGGATTACAGGTGGGAGGCACCACACCTGGCCCCAACTCGTTTTTCAGGCCAGCATTATAATGATACTAAAACCAGACAAAGATAGTACAGGCTGGGTATCCCAAAACCAAAAATCCAAAATGCTCCAAAATCTGAAACTGTCTGAGTCTTAACGTGACGCTCAAAGGAAATGCTCACTGGAGCATTTCAGATTTTCAGATTTGAGATGCTCAGTGGGGAGTATAATGCAAAAATTCCACAATCTGAAAAAATCCAAAATCTGAAGCACTTTTTGTTCTAGAAACACCCTTATTTTAGATAAAGGATACTCAACCTGTATAAGAAAAATGGATTTTTGCATCCCCCTCCAAAAAGGAAAGGAGGAGGGAGAAAAGAAGGGAAGGAAAGACCTACCCTGACCATTCCACTCACTATCTCCATCAATGGCTGACCCAGCCGTCCAAGCGCAAACCCAGGACCCCCAGGCTCCTCTCCTCTCCCCTCCAAGCACCAGGACCTGGCCATGCCGCCTCCCAAGTTATTCTATCTCCAGAGCCACACCAATTTATCTTGCCTGCACAACCACGATAACCTCCAAAGGGGTAGGTATCCTGTCTTCCATTCCAGATTCCCACTAAGCTCTTCTCCATAGCGGCAAGGATCCGACCATGCTGAGTTTAAATCCTAACTCCCCTTCATCTGCTTGGAAAGGAAGCGTGAATACCTCAAACGAAGCCGGCCGATCTCAGCAGCCTCAACTCACCTCTTTTCCCAACTTGTTTTTTTTCAGTGGTGCCAAATTTGCCCTCATTCCCAAAAGGAACACGTCCTGCTGCCTCCGCGGCTTTGTACCCACTGTTCCCTGTTGTTGGAACTCCCTCCCCAGCCCTCGGCTGCCAAGCTTGCTCCCACACAGCTGTTGCCTCCCGCCCCGGGAAGCCTCCCTTCTACCTGGCTGGCAGAGGAATCCTAGGCCTGAGCTCCTTCCCTACTAGCTCATATTGCTTTGTGGCTCCTGCGTGTCCCCAGCAGACACTCTTCAGGGTGGTGTCCAGCCACAGCACGGGCTCAAGGAGGCCGAATGCAGCTGTGCATGATTCCACCACCCCTGCTCCCTGCCTATGGGCAAGCCCAAAATGGGGCACTCAACTCCCCCAAGTCAAGATCCTTGGCCCAGACCAGGAAAACATCCCAAAAGCTTCAAGATGTGGAGACCAGGCCGTGGCAGCACTTCCATGCCCAGAATCCAGGCCTGCCCTGCAGACAGCTGAGCAGCACCACCTGAGGCCCTGGACTTCCCAGCATAGGTCTCATCAGGTCCTCAGTCTCCCCGCCCTCATCACCCTGGTTTCCAGGTGGCCAAGGCACAATGCCCCCAATCCCAGCACTGCTGCTACGTGAGCCCCCATAGCACACTGAGCGCCGGGCTCTTGGAGCCTGAGCAGGTCTGGAGCCCACCTGCCGGCCACGGTCGTGCTGTTGGCCTTCTTAGCAGGAGCCTTCTTCTGCTGGGCCTGCTTGGCAGGCGGAGCCACCTTCGCCTTCTTCTCTTCCTCGGCCTTCACCTTGTGCTTCTCCTTCTCCTTCTCCTTATCCTTCTTCTTCTTCTCCTTCTCCTTCTTCTCCTTCTTCTTCTTTGGTTTGTTTACGGGGGCCTGAGACAGGGCGGCCAGCTGCTCGTGCACGGCCTTCAGCTGGAAAAGAGCGGGCAGCTGAGCAGGCGTCGGGCACAGCCCCCACCACTGGGGCTGCCTGGGGCCCTGGATGGGAGGGGGCTTGGGGCGATGTCGGAGCTGCCTCCACTGGGCACGGAGGTGAACCAGGAGCACCCGGGCCCTGCTCTGCCCCTCACTCCCCTGTGACCCCTAGTGAGTCATGAGTCCTCTCCACCTCGGCTTCCTCACCTGCAGTGGGGAAGAGCTGCCTGGCCACAGGTTCAGCACTGCACAGGCGGCACAACAGGGCAGCTAAGGGCAGCTAACTTTTTAAAAAGAACTTATTATGCTTTAAGTTCTGGGATACATGTGCAGAACGTGCAGGTCTGTTACATCGGTATACATGTGCCACGGTGGTTTGCTGCAGCCATGAACCCGTCATCTACATTAGGTGGGCAGCTCACATTTTTATCACCACTGTTTAGATGAGGAAGGACTCTAGAAGTTTACATGCCCGCACAAAGGAGATTTTCATCAGTAACTTCTGGGAAGCCATTTGATAACACGCAGGTCTCCGGGGTTAAAACCAACCACTGCCAACAGCCAGCATTCATCCAGGGCCGCCCTGCAGCTGGTAGTGTGCCAAGCACCTCGCCCTCCCCACTGCAGCCACCCCATGGGAGAGGAGAGGCACTGCCCAGGTGAGGACACAGCCTGTCCCTGCCTCTGGGTGGTCTGTGCAAGGAAGACAGTGGGTGGGTGGAGGAGCTGCCACCTCACAGACGTCTGCCCCGCTGTGTGTCCTTGCCACTTCAAAATCAAATGTCCGGCCCAGCTCTGGGGACTGCAGGGCCATCGCTGTCCTTGCAGCCCTGATTCATGCTGTTCCCCTCCTGACTCGACAGCCCTGCTCTATTTTCTCTCAATCTGGGGTCCCAGAAATCATGCACCTGGCTGGCTGCCAGAGGTTTCGGGAAACAATTCACATCTTTCTCAATTCGACCTCGAGACAGCTCAGAGGGGGCGACATCTGTCCCATACTGCACACGAGGAAAGCGAGGCAGAGAAGGGGGAGGAACCACAGCCTGGCGGCTGGGCTGGGCTGGGCTGGGGCTGGGCTGGGCTGGGTTGGGGCTGGGCAGCTGCACGGCAGGGCCCTCAGGACCCTGGAGCCCGCACCCCACCCCACTGCAAGTGACTGCTTGGAGCCCAAGCACTACTGCAGCCTCTGCAAGTGCCTCACAGGCCTTTCTCAAGCAGAGCAAGGCACACAAAACCACACATGACCACTGAGCTCCCACCTGAGGCCCGCCAGGTCTCCAGAAACATCCCAGCCACGAGTCAGCGCAGCCACCCATGTGTGCTGTGGGTTAGGCTCGCACCACCCCAGAACAGACCTGGGGAGGGCACTCCGAGTGCCTTTACGAGGAAGCACTGCGGCGGCTGCTGTGGGACACAGGGCAGAGGAGGGAACCATGCAAAGGGACAGACCTTGGGCTGCCATGCCAGCAATCCTGCCTCAGCCCCTGAACCCTACCCAGGTATGCCAGTGCCCACCTGCTCCTGCAGCTCTGCCAGCCTGGTGGCCCGCTCCTCCTCTGAGTCCGAGCTGCCTGAATCCGAAGAGCTTTCCTCGCTGCTACGGCTGCTCTCAGCACCCTTGCTCACCACGGGGGCTGCGGGGGCAGGCAGTGCCGGCGCCTCCACAGGCTCATCCGGCATCTTGGCAAACCTCATCTCAAACACGTCCTGCGGGAGAACAGAGATTGCCCTGAAGACATGGACCCCCATGGGGCTGCCCCTTGGTGTGGGCCCTCAGGGTTCCTGAAGTGCCCCTGGGACAGCACACACAGCTGTTAGGAAGGTCGGGCCAGGAGGAGACAGGGTCCCGCCTGCCTGGGGGGCTGTGGTCGCTTCCAACTTGCCCTCCCTCCCTCCCCAGGCAATTCCTGGGGACAGGCCTGGGAGCAGGGGACACAGGAGCTGGCCCACAGCTCCCTTCACCAACTCCATGAGCCCTCTCTAGAAGATGCACGCATCCTTCTAGCCTGCTGGCCCGAAGCTCCCCGGGGCTGCCGCTGCTGTGAAATGGGAAAGAGTGTCTTCCTTTGAGCTTGGACAGGGTCCTCCACAGCCACAGGAGTCCGAGTGTTGACCTCTTCCCATCTCTTCACCCCGGAACTGACTGGAGCATCATATCTCATGAAGCGTTAACTCCAAAAGTTGGTCCAAAAGGCCAAAGTCTAGTCCTATCAATATTTTATTTACAAAAAAATATAAAAATTAGCCAGTCATGGCGGCACACGCCTGTGATCCTAGCTGCTCAGGAGGCTGTGATGGGTGGATTACTTGAACCCAGGAGGTCAAGGCTGCAGCGAGCTGAAATCATGCCATTGCACTCCAGCCTGGGTGACAGAGTGAAACCCTGTCTCAAATATAAATATATATGTAAATATTTTATTTTATATATATATATATTTTACTATTTTTTTTTTCTCTCGAGACAGAGTCTTGCGCTTTTGCCCAGGCTGGAGTGCAATGGCATGATCTCAGCTCACTGCATCCTCCACACCCTGGTTTCAAGTGATTCTCCTGCCTCAGCTTCCCAAGTAGCTGGGATCACAGGTGCGTACCACCACTCCCAGCTAATTTTTTGCATTTTTAGTAGAGCCGGAGTTTCACCATGTTGGCCAGGCTATTCTCGAACTCCTGACCTTGTGATCTGTCTGGGCCTCCTAAAGTGCTGGGATTACAGGTGTGAGCCACCACGCCCAGCCTACTTTATTTTCTGTAGGGACAGGGTCCTGCTCTGTTCCCCAGGCTGGTCTTGAACCCCTGAGCTCAAGTGATCCTCCCACCCTGGCCTCCCAAGGTGCTGAGATTACAGGCGTGAGCCATCACACCCGAACTTCCTATCAAAATTGACTTTGGAAAGCCTTTGGACCAGGACCTAGGCCTTCAGTAGCCCCTCTCAGCAAACGTCCCCCTCCCTGGGGCAGCCCAGGCTCAGTGAAGACAGGGATGCACAGTGATGCGGAAATGAGGGGAGATTTCTTTGCCAAGCTCAGAAACCTGAATCCATACCGTCTGCACACGTGATGTGCCTCCACTGTTCAGGCTGGACCCAGCTCTGGAAAAGCCCACCCCAGGCTCTCATATCCCGCACTCTCCTCTCAGATGTCCCCAGAGGCAACCCAACCCACAGAGCAGCGTTCCAGGCCCCCATTCGGTTGACAACCTTGAAGGTCGTTCAGGTCAGGTCATTTTGCTGTTGGGCTCTAACCCCACAGCTCAATTGATAAAATGGTACAATTGCTAAATAGTGCTCAGTCATGGAAATCCATCAGCCTCAGGGTCTCACTCTGTTGCCCAGGCTGGAGTGCAGTGCAATCACAGCTCACTGCAGTCTCAAACGCCTGGGCTCAGGTGATCCTCCCATCTCACTCTCCTGAGTAGCTGGTACTAGGGACGCACCACCACACGTGTCTCGTTTTGAAAATCTGTTGTAGAGACAGCTCGTCTCAAACTCCTGGCCTCAAGTGATCCTCCCACCTCCGCCTCCCAAAGTGCTGGGATTACAGGCGTGAGCACCATGTCTATCCAACAGCACCTGTTGCAAGAGTTGGGGGGGCAGAGCTGCCGGCGTCCCTGCTTGGTCTGCAAGCCTGGGTTTCCGTCCTCTATGCTCAGCTCCCTCGTTAAACTCAACCCAGCATTTACCAGGCTCCAGGAGACTGGGCTTTGCAAGGTCTTTTGGGTTCAAGACACAGTAAGCAAGGTCTCCGTATAAAACCGGGGTTCTGATGGCTTCCTCTGGATGTAATGGGACCTCCAGGACCACTCTGCCATCATCCCCCGCAGGACCCAGTGCAGAGAGAGGGTGGCAATGGCAGCAGTGCCTGGGAGAGAACCTTGGGCAGGCCGTGTGCACGGGAGGGTGGGAAAGGCAGCAGGACCCGCAGGGCGGGAACGAGTTTCTCTCTCTGCCCCTTTTATGGGTCCTGTGTCATCTGCAATAATACCACGGGCTGCTCGGGGATTTCAAAACAGTCTGTGCAAGGATTGTGAACATCTTACACGACATTCTGGGTCCCGTGAAAAGGAAAAGCATGCTGGAAGACAACACGTACCCATAATTCTCCCCTTTCCTCCCAAAATCAAGTCCTTTGATTAAATAACATTTATAACAGGGGTGCTGTTATTGATAAAAGCAAACCACCTGCGATCACAATTAAAAAAGGTAATAATAGATTCTGGCGCATCCACCCACACCAAAATATGTGTGCAGGACCTGGACTTTGGCAGAAAAATGTACATGCAGGCAGGAGCATGCACACAGGTCCCTACATGCACACACGTGCACGCACACAGGTCCACACACGCACACACGTCCACACACACAAATATCTCTGTGAGGTCTGTGCATGTTCACAAAGTCCCTGTGCTGAGAGCCAGACCAAGACACTCCTGTTTTCCCTTAAGACATCCCACTGCTTCCTGCATTTTCTCCAATCCGCCTTTTACTTCTGTTGTCAGAAAAGCAAAACGCTACACAAGCCACTGTCACCTAATTCATCCTCCGGCTGCACTGTCAGGCTAGTGCCCAAGCCTCTCCTTGCCACAGAGACTTGCTGGAAACTACAGTCAGTGAAGCCACAGGAGAAAGGGCATCTGCCCTCCCACCTGGTACATGCACCAGCCCCTGGAGGGAAAGGCTCACTGCTGCGACACCCCCACAGAGTCCCAGCGGTCCTGCCTGCTCACCGGCTGCCCTGCCCCAGTGGCAGCTCCTGGAACCCAGCTCAGAGCCTGGCAGGACCTGGTTGGCACTCGGGAAAAACGTGTTGAGGGAATGAGGCTGAGGCCTTCCTCAGCTGGACAATTACCTGGGCACCCCACCCCACACCGAGGCCAGGATGCTCACAGCGCCGAGCTGAGCCGCCCCACCTGTGCCCAACCTCGGGTTACCTGGAGCTTCCGGGCCATGGCCACCACCTCGTGGTCTGGGGGATTGTATTTGTAGCAGTTCGAGAACATCAGCCGGACATCAGCAGCAAAACCCTGTGCGTCTGGGTACTCTCGGCCATCCATCTTCCTCTGCAACACATAGGACAGGGGTCAGTGAGCGTGGCCTGTGGCCTCAGGACTCTCTGCCACACCCCACGAGATGAACACCGGAGCAGGAGCCACTGCCAGCTCCAGGACAGTGCCTACCGGCCTGGCCAGCAGGACACCCCAGCTCTCCAGCACCTCACACAAGGAAGCTCAAAGTGAGGACATGAGAGGGTGACTCGATGGCTTGGCAGGCAGGGTCTGGGACTCCAGAGACAGATCTCCCGGTTGGAAGAAAAAGGCGCTCAAGGAGAAATCCCGGGTTCCCGCGGGTGTCCCTTAGCCCCTTCCTTGTCCAGAGCGTCCCTTCACACAAAGTGGGTAAATCTTCACACGCCGACATGCCATAGGCAGCCCCGGGGCGGCGTGAGGCTGCAGCAAAGTCAGATTCCACCAACGACAGGGGCCTGCTCAGTCTACACAAGGAAATGTTATTTCTCCCTTGAGGAAGCCAGTAGCTGTTAGCCAGCTTGCGTCTTACAGAAGCACCCTGGTATCCCAGGGGCCTAGCTGGACCTAAGGGACTCCATGTTGTGTCCAGTGGCAGTTCCTGAAAGCCACAGCAGTGGAGGCAATGGGGGCGTGTGGGCTGACACCCACCCACGTTTACTCGGCCACACAGAGACCCTAGAGCAAAACCCACCACAGGTTCCACCTGGCTTTGGCAAGCGGAGAACTGAGGCCAAGGCCTGGGCAGACAGTCCCAGGTGGCAGGGGTGAGGAGGGGCACAGTCAGTCCCCAGAGCTGGGAGGTGCAGGTGGCTTGGCCAGGGAGTGGCCAGAGGCAGGATCGTCGACAGATGTTTTCAAGGTGGCCACTAGGAACACACCAGTTGGGGCAAAAAGAGGTCACACTGTGCCGGAGGGAGTGGGTTTCCCATCCCGGGACGGCTTCAAGGAGAGGGACCTTGTCGGGGACCTCGAGGGAGGACACACGCAAGGGCAGGGCGAACCTACCCCGACCGCTCCATGGGGTCCAGGCTGCATTCACCCAGGTGCCAGTGAGATGGAGGGGCTGGGTCCTAACCCGCAGAGGGCGCCTGCCAATTCACGGCCTGTACCCTGTGCACTCGGACATGAGACCCATCCAGAAGGAAGGGCTGGCAGAAAGAACCCGGGAGCACAGAGGGACCTGAAAGCCTCTGATGTTGGGAGAAAAGCTTGTTTTCTGTTTTAGCATGTGCCGGGGCAAACCATCCCCAAAAGCTCCATCTGTAAAATCTACAGGTCCTGAGGCCTCTCTTGCTGATTCATGCCCCTTCCCCGCGGCATCTGGGCCACACTCGCAGGCAGCAGGTGCTGCCACGGCACCTGGCTTCTCCCCACGCCAGGACAGACAGAGGTGGGACGCTCCGAACAAAGCAGATCACAACTTTAAAGTGAACTGCTTTTCTAGAGCTTCTTTATTATGGTTTCAAGGGCAAATCAGACCCTTCGACCAAAACGGAATTAAGCTGAGCTTCAGTCTGGCACAAACGCTGGAACCCCCAATGATGTTCCAGAAATTCCTGTTACTGTGCTGTGGTAGAGGCACACAAACCCTGGCCCTAGAGGCTGGAGCCGACGCTCCTGGCAGCTTCTGAGCCGCGTGGCTCCGGCCCTCAGCTTCCCCACCCACGGCAGTGAAGCCAGGCAGCCGCGCTCATGGCTTTCGCCTGACTGTGCACCCGGCACTGGGGCCTGAGCCAGCCAGGTCTGTCCCGGCCGAGATCCAGTCAACCAGGGAAGAAAAGGCTTTCATCAGGGGATCCTGGTTCAGGGGGTGGAGAATAACTGCAACTGGCTTTCCAGGATGAAAACAAAAAACTGCCCAACAGGGCTCCCAGCAGCTCTTCCCAGGGCCACCAGCAGTTGGCGGAGGCGGCTGGCCACACCTCCACCGCCTGCATGTCCCTGGGAGCTGGCTCAGAGCTCTCCCAGAGGGAGACCAGGTGCCAGCCAGAAGTTTGGAAAGGCGCTCAGGGAAGACCTGGTGGAGCTCACCCTGCCTTGGGGCGGCGCAGCTCAAATGCCACTCCCCACCCGCCCCGCCACCCCCCACCAGGACCAGACTCACTCTGACCTGCTGCAAGGCACACAAGAGCCCAGGCAGAGGCTGCCGCCTCGAGAAGACAGGAATGGGGGAGGCCAGGCTCTCAGTCTCAGCTCTGCCACCCGCCCAGGGCCCGCTTCCGTCTGGTGAGGGGGTGGGGCTTGGAGGCACTTAAGGGACAAGCCAGGCCATCTCCACCGGCCGCCTCACTCTGGTCTGCTGTGAGGCGCCTGTATCCAGGGCTTGAGGGAGGCAAAGTGTAGCTTTAAAACTTGAGCCAACTGTGAGAGTGGCCCAGATCCAGGGGCCCCCTGACCTGATGATACAGAATGGGAGGTGGGAAGGAAATCAATTAAATCACCAAATGGGGTTGATGGGAATAAACAACAACAGAGCCACAGACTCCGGGACCCACGGGCAGGGCACACCTTTCTCGCTGGGCCCTGCCAGCCACAGCCAGGGCCGCAGGGGCCAGCCCGGAGGGTGCGCTTCTCCGGCAGTCGACACCCTGCTCCCCGAGAGGCCCCACTCAGCCGGCACAAGACATTAGCACCCACGGCAGATCCGCAGGACGTGGGCAGAGCAGGGCCTGCCGCGCAGCCACGTACTTTCACAGTGCTGAGGTCCATCGGGTGCTTGATGATGTCGTGGTAGTCGTGCAGCTCCAGGGCCTCGGCGTCCACTGGCTTGTAGAAGGGCCAGGCGTAGGCCGCGTGCTTCTTGGACAGCATCTCCCTGAGGATGCTGTCGCAGTAGCGCAGGTGCTCTGACAGCTTGCCCTTCTTGCCTGCGTGCTGGGGCACCTCGCCGTCCTCCAGGTCCTTCTTGGGAGGCTTGATGGGGCGGCCGCCACTCTCCCGCCGGGCCACCACTTTGGCCTGCTTGGGGTCTGACAATGGCGGGGGTGACTCACTCCGGCTGGCAGTGATGGCCGACGTCGTGGGAGTGGTTGTGTCTGCTTTCCGCTTCACGCCCTTTTTCTGCGACAGTGAAATAACCAGTGAGCCCCGGAAACCAGGCCGCCGCCCCGAAGACGCATGTCGCTGCAGCCGCGTTTCTGGGGCACTGTCTGTCTGCCTGCCTGGCGCTGGGCTAAGCGGCCACATGCACGGCCCCACAGGAGAGGACACCAAGGCTCAGGGGCCATGTCACTGGCCCAAGGTCACACAGCTGGCAGTGGTGAGCCTGGGACTCTCCCTCAGGCTCAACTCTGAAACCCGCCCTCACCTGGGCGTGGGGAGACCCCTCTCTCCCTTAGCCCTGAGGGCTCAGGGGTCCCGGGTGGGCTCGCCCCTCACACCCCAAGCCGTGTGAGGTGCTGCATGCAATTCACCAGACACCTAACAAGCACCCAGGCCAGGACCCGGGGACCTTGGCGCTGCAGAGACCTGGGAACTCCCTGCTTTTAGAGACCAGCAGGAAAGTTCCAGACAAGGGCCTGACAGCGGGGGCTCCGCAGACAAACACAAGTTTTGCGGGACAAGGAGGAGGCAGGAGAGCATTCCGGACACAGGGCAGGGGCAGCCCAACCAGGAGGCATGAAGCAGCCACAGCAGCTCTGGGAACAAGGGACTTCAGGGGGTGAGTGGGCGAGTCTGGACTCCATCCCGGCGGCAATGGGAGCCACTGAAGGCTATTTCAAGCAAGGAGAGGAGGGAGACGACCCACAGAGCCTTCCACGGGTGTGTCCTGGGGGCGGAGCCAGGCACCAGGCAGACACTCATGTTTAATGTCCAGGCCCCCTGGGTGTGTGCAGGTCTCTCTGGGCAGCCTGCAAGGGCCTCAGCACCCAGCACCCATGGGCATCACCTCAGCGTTCCGGGGCCAGGGCTCAGTGTGCACCCCGAGACCAGCTCAGCCGGCTTCTAATCTTAGCCCAGCAGGAGAGGAGCCAGCCCACGGCACCTGCCGTCTAGAGAGCCACCCACAGTCACTGCCCAGCCAAGCCGCCGCCCTCGGACTGGCAGGGGCCGGAGCCGGCTATCCACAACACTTGACAGGCGCCCACGGGCTGCCAAGCGCCAGGCGCGTGCCGCAGAGGGCGGGTGGGAGCAGGGACGGACTCATCTGGCCGTGGCAAATGGGACATGCTCCAGAAACAGCCCCCGCTGGGGAGGCGGCTTGGCCGGGGGCCACCCATAAGTGCAGGCAGTGAAGGCCACGGGGAGGGGAAGCAACGGAGGTGGCGTTTTACCTTGGGCGAGCCATTTAACCCCTTTGAGCGCCCGCTTCCTCATCTGTAAGATGGGGGAAATACTGTCTGCCCAGAGGGTTGCTGTGAGGATCAAATCGAAGAAGATAATACACATAAGTGCCTGGCACGGGCCCTGCCCAAAGCAGGAGACTCACCAGGCCTCGCTAGCCCCAAATCTTGCAGGGAGCACCCACTCCCTGCCAAGACCAACACGGCCCACCGTGAAAAGCTCCCAGCCAAGTGGGGCGCAGGATAGGCGGGTCCCCATGCTCCCATGTGGAGCCCACAGGCAGGGCCGGCTTGGCTGCCGGCACCTTACAATGCACCCAGGTGGGTACAGCTGGCACCACACTCCTGGCTGTGAGCAGGGGAGGACTGGGACCCCCCCACCCTTGCTTCTCTCCCACACCTTCCCCACCTTGACCGAGCCCTTGGCCAGGGCTTCTGGCCAGAGAAGCTGGGGTTCAAGTTCAGCCAGGCCCTCCCTTACCAGCTGTGTGACCTTCAGCTCCCCAGGCCTAGGTCTCCTCATCTGCGTCAGGAACAACGGCCTGACCTCCCAGGGCGCGGAGAGAGCCACTCCCAGGAGCCGGCACTCAGGGAAAGACTGGAGCCCCCCGCCCGCCGCTCCTGCCCTGACCTCAGGAACCCTGGCTGGGCTCGGACGCCCCAGCCGTCCGGACTCAGGGTGCTCACCTTGACGACAGGCGGCGTAGGAGGGACCACAGGGACGATGGGTGTGGCAGGAGGAGGTGGGGCGGCAGCTGGGGGGACTGGGACCGACGTGACGTTTGCAGTGATGGTTGGTACAGGGGTGGCAGCGATGACAGGCGTCTGGGAGACAGTGGGGGGCACGCTCTGAAAGGGGGTCGCTGGGGAGACAGAGGACACGGCCGCCACTTGCTGCGTACCTTCAAAACAAGGAAGGGACATTTGGCATGCCAGGCTCTACTAGCATTTCCAGAAGCTTCCAGTGCCACCCCTTCAGCCAGAACATGGGGGCCAGCTCTGTGCTGCCAAAACCCCCAGCCAGAAGAGCCCTCCATGCTGAGATGCCCCCGACCCTGCATCTTGGGGGCAGGACTGCTCTGGCTCATCTTGGCTAAGGGCTCCCCGTATGAAGGGGAGACCCCCGCCACAGACCATAGGAGGCAGAACAAGGAAGCCAGGGCAGTCCCATGGCCTGGCAGTCAAGGGCCACCCTGGAGTCACAGAAAGCTGGTACCGAACTCGGTTCCCTCAGTAACTAGGTGAGTGACCAAGGCTGTGGCCGTACTTAAGCCCCCAGCTTCTCCCATCTGCAACACGGGACAGCACACGGCACTGACCATCCCGCTCGGTCAGCCTTTCCATCTGGACACGCCTACGGGCCGGGTTTCCAGGCCAGGTGGGATCCCAGGGCTCACAGCACTAATCACCACCGTGCTCCCCAACAAGGAGAGGCGGTCTTACTTGACCAGGGAGCCAGGCAGGTGACAGTGACTCTCAGGTCACAGAGAATAAAATGAGTGCTGAAGAGACAAAGTCCTAGGAGGGGCACAGCCCCCAGGCGTCATGGAAGAAGTGACTTCAGGGCTGGAGCTGGAAGGGGGAGCAGGATTTGGGAGGTGAAGAGCAGGGACAGGCGATCCTCCCAGACCATGAGCTCCTCCCCAGAGTGGGCTCAAAAGCAGCTCCAGCATTAATATCTTCTGTATCCCTGGGCTAGCTGCCCCTCCAACATCACCCACAGGCCACACTCAGCCAAGACCCAGCACCCATGAGCTCTTCACGACAGACGGGAAACAGCTCAGATGGCTAAGGGACTTGCGTCCCAGCCCATCCATCGGTGGGCCGCTGCACAGAGGCCCCGCCCCTTGCCCACCCTGGCTCCCTGTACCTGCGCTCTGGACTCCCACAGACGGCTTCCGGCCTTTGCCCTTTGGAGCAGGGGGTAATAATTCAACTTCCTCTTGGGGCATCTGGGCCACTTTTTGTAGAAAAATTTTCTCTAAGGCTTGGGCCATTAGCACAATGTCATCTGTGGGCTGAAGACACAGAGTCCAGGTCACCGGTCAGGAAAGGAGCTGTGTGCTTGCAAAGGACGTTATTAGTTGTAGCTCAAAAAAATACTTAAAATTTAACATTTGGCAGCACAGGAGAGAACCAAATGAATATATATAATATATACACACATACATATACATACATACATATACATTTTTTTTTTTTTTTCAGATGAAATCTTGCTCTGTCACCCAGGCTGGAGTGTAGTGGCACGATTTCGGCTCACTGCAACCTCCACCTCCCAGGTTTAACTGATTCTCCTGCCATAGCCTTCCAAGTAGATGGGATTACAGGTGCCTGCCACCACACCCGGCTAATTTTTTTGTATTTTTAGTAGAGATGGGGTTTCACCATGTTGCACAGGTTGATCTCAAACTCCTGAGCTCAAGAGATCCGCCCACCTCGGCCTCCCAAAGTGCTGGGATTACAGGTGTGAGCCATGGCACCCGGCCAGGTGATGTGCTTTGAGCCTGCCCAAGAGCTGCTGCAAAGCGCCCAGGTCCACCTGGCACTGGCAAGAACGGCTGGGGGATCCACACCACACAGCACCCGAATCCTTACTGCAAGCGGCATTCTGGGCTGGCATCTTACCTTGTTATAAATGTAACAATTTGTAAACATGGTGTTGAAGTCCTGCATACATTCGCTTGCACTCCAATAATAATTATTTTCTAGTCTCTTCTTAATAGTCCCCATATCCATTGGGTTTTTTATTATTTTATGATAATCCTAGGAAAGAGATTTTCAGAGGCATTACCGAAAGATTCTACATAATTATTTTCGCGATTCCCAAGAGGACACAGCCTGGCCTTCCCAAGTGGACTGAGGACTGGGGCTGGCCCAGAGGCACTTTCTGATCTCTGACAGCAGTGGGCTATGGTGAGGTGGGCACTTGGCCAGCTCCAAACTCCTGCCTAACCTCTCTCCGGACCCCAAGCATGTGCAGAGGGGAGCCCACAGGGCTAGGGCAGACCCCAGGACAGGTCTACATACTGGAGATGGGGCCAAACCTTCCGGGTTCTAAACCTGCAGGTGACCAGGGCCTCGCAGAGCCTAGAGCCCAGGCCACCAAGCACCAGCCCAGGGCTTCCTCTGCAATGCTCAGGGTTTGTCTATTTGGGCCCAGATCAAAAACGAGCATGCAGCTGAGGGCACCATCGCCCGGAAGGCAGGCCTCAACATCTCTGCCTCTAACTCCAAGTGAGCTCGCCAAGCTGGCAGATGGGCCATCCTGCAGGAGCCAGTGAGGCAGAAGAAGGCCCCAGTGAACCTCGACTCCTAAGCCCCATCACCGTCCACCTGCTTTCCTCCCAGACGTGCGTGGCTTCTCCCTATTTCCTGCACCTGGGGCAGCCGCCCTCGACTCTCCCACGCCCACGTGACCGCTGTGTGCCTTCGTGCTGTGGGCTTCCTGAGGCACAGGCTGTCCCCAGCTTAGCAGCACCTTCCTAAGGCCAGAGTGGCAGTCTTTCCAGGAGTGGGGGCAGCACGAGGGGGACAGAGGACGGCAGCAGCAGAACGTGGCTCTTGGGGAGGCAGCAGCTACGCACCGGCAGGTTCAGTTTGATTGCGTCCACGGGCTGGTAGAAGGGCCAGGCGAACTGGTGTTTCCAGAGCGTCTTCACCACCACATTCTGCATGTACTGCAGCTGGTTGGTCTTGCGGCCGGGCTTGCTGGGGTTGGAGACCTCCGGGGGCGGTGGGTTCACAGGCCCCGGGGCTGCCGGGATCCCCGCGGGGGCGACCGTCGTGGTGGTGGACATCCTCTGGCAGCTCGCTCACTTTCTGTCACAGCAGCGGCTTGGAGAGGCCCTGGCTGCTTCTACACTCCCCGAGGAGGCGCGACGTCCCATTTCCGGGCCCAACCAGGCGACAACTGCAGTGAGGACGCAAACAGAGAGGCAGGCCAGTCACCTTGGGGACCCCCACCTCTCCCAGCCACGGCAGGCTCTGGAGGGCACCTGTCAAGCCCCAGCAGGGCCTGCTCCACTCACTCACCCCCGTTGCCCAGCCACCCAGGTGAGTGGCTGTCGGGAAAGCTGCTCAAGCCAAGCGCCACCAGCTCAGGACGACTCTCCAACCACTGCTCTCAGGCCCGGGAGGGAAGGCCTGGGCAGTGGAGGGAGCTCAGGCACATGCCATTTGCTCCCAGGTGGGCGCTTGGGGCACACGCCGGGAGGCAGGTGTGCCAAGGGACTCAGCCACTGGCAGCCTTCTGCCCACCAACCAACCACTCGTGGGGGCCGACTAGTTGCTACTGGGCACTGACAGCTTGGCCACGACAATGTTCTGAAGAGTGACCCATGCGTGGACAGCCACGATGTGGGCCCAATACAGCCACGGGAAGTGGGGCCGGCACAACACAGACGTTTGCAGACCCAAACACGGTGCGGGAAGGTGGCACCCCCGAGCGAGGCCAAGCAGTGAGGTTCTGTCGTAACCAGGAGAACAAAAGCCCAGGTTTGTGATGGCAGCGTGGTTGTGACCCGGCCTGACTCTCGGCCAATCAGAGAGGTGGGAGCGGCGGCTCAGACCCTGCCGACCTCCACACCCCAGCTGACCACGGGGAGCTCTGTACACGCAAGATGCTGGGGCTTCCCTGGCCCCGACTGGCCGGCCACAGGCAGGGCTGGCAGGAGCCCTGCCTGAAGAGGCCACCGCCACCCTGCGTGTCCCAGGTGGGCACGGACAGTCGAGAGCACCCACAGGAACGCTGCAGAGTGGAGAATGTATGCAGGCCTCCAACCATGGCCAGGGCCCTGCGGTGTAGCCCCGGGTCTACCTGTAAAGGTGTGGGGCAGACGTGAAGAGCTCTAACCCAGCGCCTGGGATTTCAACTTCAGCCTCGTACCTTGCTGCCATTTGAGCCTTTCCTGCGCTCGTATAACTGACAGACAGGTCAGGGCTGCAGGCTCCCCTCGGAGCCCAGGCAGCAGCTCTGCCATGGGAGGAGCCGGCTCCGGCCCCAGAACCAACCACTTGTAGATGCTCGGGGCAGACAGTCAAGACTAGGGGAAGTCTGTGAGCTGGCTGACACCTGGTTGATCTCCTGAAATCTGCCCCGGTGGGCAGTTACACCCCAGCAATGGGCAAATGCTGCAAACCAGGAGCCCCTCCCCAAGCTGGATGTTCAATGTTGTCAGCACCCTGCATGGCAACCTCACTTCCTCCCACCCCACCCCAGAGTGGAAAGGGCTTCAAAGCTACACGCAACACAGCTCACCCACCAAGCATGCCTGCACGAGAGAACATGGCTCAACTCCAGGAGCGCCCACCTGTGCCAAGGTCTCATCCAGGGAAGCCCCTCATACCCAACCTCTTCCACGCTCTCCTGGGGTGAGCGGGTGCCTCCATGCCCCTCCATCTCACCAAGCCGCTGCTCACAGCCCCAGGCCGCAACCCTGGTGGGGAGGGCAGCTGCGCCGGTGTCTGTGTCTTCACCCCAGTCACAGAGCTGCTGTCCTGGGCACAAACCTGGGGTCCCCCAACGCCTCTCTTCCTGCTGCCCCAGGCCAGAGGGTGGCGGCACTGCCCCTCGCTACCACCACTTGCTAGGATTTCCATGAAGCCCTCCCAGCAGGGCTCCCTGCTCTGCCCCGCAAGGACCACCTAGCCCGTACCGCAGGGTGATCCTGTTTAAACCAAGTCAGATCAAGTCACTGGTCTGCTCAAAACCTCCCAGGAGCTCCATGTGACTCAGAGTGAAAGTGAGTCCAGCCCCACCCTGGCTGGTGGGGCCTGGGGCGACCCAGAGTGACCGAGTCCTGAGACCTGTGTCCTGTCTCCTGTGACTTGCAGCCCTCCCTCAATGCCTGGACAGCAGCAGGCTCTTGCCCTCCCAAGGTCTCCAGGTACCTCCCAGAACACCCATTCTGCTGGGCCCCAGGCAGCACAGACGCTGGGGCCAGCCACACGACCTGGTCCTTCCACTTCCCCACGAGGCTCCTGAGGGTGGAGGAGTCAGGCACAGAGAGAGCTCACGCCAGTGACGGGCACCAAGCACCACACGCAGCTCCGCTAAGACTGCCAGGCAGCACCGACAGAAGGCCCAGGCTGTGCTGCTGCCACCTCCCAGGGCCCAGATGTCGGCTCCCAGGTGTCAGTCATGGGGGGAAATTCCCAGTAGCCACTGCTGCTGCACAGGCCCAGGAGCCAGGAAATGGGGCTGAAACTGACCTTTGGGGGTGTGGGAGTGGTCATGGGACAAACGAAGGCTCCCAGGCTGCAGGCCAGCTTCCTCCAAGCATGAGGATAGACAGTCACAGCTCAACGTGGGGGCCTGCTTCTGCTGCCATCGGGACACAACGCCTGGCCAGACGAGGCCCTTCAAGCCACCTACTTCCAGCCACCCGCCCACTGCTCCAAACCAGAGGCTGAGTAGGAGCCCAGCTCCGGCCATGGACACCGGAGTGCAGGCCTCGTCCTGGGTGGGGAAAGCAGCCCCGCCCAGCCATGGACGGTGAGCTTGAGCAAGGCAGAGGGAGGGGCGCCCTGGGCTCTGGTTGGCACAAGCCCACCAGCCACTGCAGAGCCGCCTGAGGCCCAGCCCAGGAGCCCTCCTGGTGCTGCCAGGGAAATCCCGGCCAATGTGGTTAAAGCTCTAGGGCTGCGCCTGGTGCCAGCATGCGCTCACTGAATGCCAGTGGTCACGACAGGCCCTGAGGGTGCAGCTCGCCTCCAGCTCCGCTACCTGGCAGAAACACACCGACCCCAACAAGACCTGGAAGCTGAGGGGTGCAGTGTAAAAAACCCCTGGCACACACTGGCAGGCGACTGCCCCACCCCCGGTGGCGAGGTATGGTGACCTCACCTCTCCTCTCCTGGAACACCAACCTGCCCTCTGAGACACCTACCCCATACACACTCAGATTTTTGCAAAAACTTGAGGACAACACGATGCCATGATAAGTGGCCCTGCCTCCCCAACAAGCCCTCAGCACAGAAGCGGAGCCCCCAGGCAGCCTGGCACCAGCCAGTGGGAGGGGCGGGGAGGAAGGGCAGCCAGAGGGCAAAGGGGTGGCATCCCCTTCAAGCCCTCTCTGCTACCAGGTACCGAGACCCACCACCTGGTAAGGACCACGCCGGGCAAGACGAGACCAGAAGACAAGTCAGGTGAGAGCCCAGGGTGGCCCTCCCTGTGGGAGAGTGTGCGACTCCCGGAGTCCTGGGGCAGGGACGGCTGAGACGGGCTCAGTGCCTCAGGTCCCCGTCCACAGCACGTTCACACCACATCATCCCCTCTGGGGCTGAAGGCCAGTCCCGTCCGCAGACGCCTTCCCTCCAAGTGCAGTGGGTGGACAGACAAAAACCTCAGCCAGCGCCTGGCTCTGCCACCCTCAGTGTCTCCACTGTCCAGACAGAGAAGATGAAGAAACCCGAAGGCATCTGTGTGAGGGAGCCCCACATGGACGCTGGAAAGAACCAGGGCGACCTGCAGACCGCCTTGAAAGACCTCCCCTAGGGCGGCGGAAAGGAGACGAGGCAAACAGCTTCCCGACCAGAGTCCACGCACCTTCCACGTCTGTGCGGAAAGGAGACGAGGCAAACAGCTTCCCGACCAGAGTCCACGCACCTTCCACGTCTGTGCGGAAAGGAGACGAGGCAAACAGCTTCCCGACCAGAGTCCACGCACCTTCCACGTCTGTGCGGAAAGGAGACGAGGCAAACAGCTTCCCAACCAGAGTCCACGCACCTTCCACGTCTGTGCGGGGAGCTCGGGGCCCCATCCCGAGATGTGAAAGGCAACTGAGGCTTCCACAAAGAAATTACAATGAAACAGACACCGGCCAGGCCAGCTGAAAATCAGTGATGGACTAAGGTACAAATCGACGTGGAGGTTCCAACAAGAGAAGGACGGTGGTGGGATCACCCTACCCCAGCCTCTGAGCACCCCAGAGGACGCACAAGCAGGACAGCCAGGTGCTTTCACACCACGCTCACCCCACCTCCACCCTCTGGCCCAGATGTCGGCGGCTCCTCTGCAGGGTGAGGTGGGGTGGGAGCAGACAGTGGAGAAAACACCACAAACAGCACAGGTGGTCGGCCAGGGCCACAAACCCTTCAGCTCACTGATGCCGAGACCCCCGCAATCCCCACAACAAACCTGCAAGGTCAGAATGATCGCGCACATGTACAGACGACTAAGCTGAGGCCCCTTCCTCCTTCACCTCCGGAGTGCCACCTGAGCGCCGAGGCTTTGGGACACGAAGCACTCAGCAGTGGGCAGTGGAGGCACAGCCTAGGATCAAGACCCTGGGCTTCCTACCCCAGGCTCCTCAGCCTGCAGGCGGCCACACAGCAAGAGGACCCTGGGCAGTTATGGAACGAGGCGCTCCTGCTTCCCCCACCCCCAACGGCCAGCAAGGACACAAAGGCAGCCCAGGGCAGGACCAGCCGCCAGCCACAAGGCCCCTCCAGAACCCAAGGTTCGGTGGAGACTCCAAAAGGGCTGACTGCAGGGCCCCCACGGGGTCCACACACCAGACACAGAGGCCATGCAGAAAGGCGGTAGGGGGCCACTATGGGGTCCGCACACCAGACACAGAGGCCCTGCGAGGGAGGCATGGAGCACCCGGCTGTCGGCACACCAGGATCCATGGCCCGGCTCTCCAGCCCCGGCTGACCTCGCTGTGGAGTGAAGAGATGGTTTGTGTGGAGAGTTCAGTAAGGCCGTCATCTGCCGAGTGCTTCCCACCATAGCCCATGGGCAGGCATGAGAGTCATGCCCCCTACAGCCCACAGCTTCACTCATGCAAGGACATTCTGGGGGCTGGGACGTCCTAGCCAGCGGCTAGAACTGGGTGTGACCATGGGCCCCCTTGGCTGGGGAGAAAAGGAGGTGCCCCTAGATCCCAAGTCACCCGGGGCCGCAGCAAAGGGAGGAGGACCTTGCATCACTCCAGGGTGCCACGTGGACGAACAGAGGTAACACTGGGAGCGTGGCCGGCAGTGTTGGACATTCAGAACACATCTGCCCAAAACAAACATGGCCTTTACTTCTCCCAGCTCCCAGAAACAAAGTAAACAGAAGGATCATGTCTGGACGCCAGGGACCAGCCCCTCACTGTTACATCCCTATCCCCCCAGGCCGGAGTCTGACCACTCCGTGTCACCTGCCTCTACTCCTGTCGTGACTGTCAACTTTCTGGATTTCAGAAAGTCAAACCTGCAAGGGGAGCGTTTCCCCAGGGGGTGGAGGTGTCTCTCCTACACGCACCCCTACCCCAGGGTCTGAGATGACATCACAAATCAAACCCGGTATTCTGCAGAGACACAGGTTCAAACTACGGGCAGCCTTGCATCAACTGTAAAGGGTTCAGTCCCTCGCTCAGCCCACTGTGTCACCAAGAGGGAGGGTGGGCGGGTGGCCAAAGAGGGCTCCGTTTTACAGTCCAGGAAGGAGTGGCCTGGGCCCCACGGCTGGTGTAG